CTTATGACAAATATTAATTCAGAGAGAAAGAACAGCTCATTAAATTAGCTGAGGAGGTTTCTGATCTCTTTCATTGTTTCACCTAAAACCACATGGGTGTCGTTTGTTTTCTGAATCTGAATTCATCTAATGTCCCATTCACTACCTTATATACATTGGTCTGTCCTCCATGGTCCATGGCCCACAAGATTGTTACCTTCCCAAACCACTCAGTTCACGTGCTTCCCTTCCAGGGTTGTGGCCAGGCTTGTTTATCATTGCTATTGAAACAGCCAGTGAAAAATCAAAAGTTGGGTTCACAATGAAAAGTGGTCAGGGGATCATCAGGCAATCACAGAAAAAATGACTAAAAATACTTTTGACAGAGGACAACTTCTATTGGACACTGAGATAGAATGAATTTTTCTGCCAGGGAAATGTGTTCATTATCAACTCTGGAAGAAAGCATATTGCGATTTAAAAACCAGCAACAACAGTTTCTTCCCTCTTTTCTCTTGTCCCGAGTCTTAGTCTGCTTCTTTACTTGTGTCTATTTGTCTGAGCGTTTTACTGTGCTGCTCTCAGTTTCAATCCAGCATAATGGATAATAAAATCAATGATTCTTAGTAGGTTGGGTACCCATAAAAAAAGCCTTTACTGATTTCTTTTGTCTTTTTTGTTTGAAGTGAACTTTTTTTCTATAAATAAAGACCTGAATCCACTTCAGTTTTATTTTCCTGCTTTTAGTTTAGTTTTGTTTTTGTTAGTCACTTAGACCAATATATAGATTGGAGGAATAAGAAATCTTGAGGGATTTTAAAAAAAGATGTACACTGTGTATATTTACACAGCTCATCTCTCAAGGAATGGAAATCAAAAGCAATATCATTTTAAACACTCGATGTAAATGGTTCTCTTTCTTTTCTCTGCCCCATCTTCCTCAATAACCTACCGCTCCCCTATCCCTGTTCCCTCCTGGTCCCTTGCCTACTAACAGTCATCAAAGTCTTATCTTTTCAAGTATAATCCAAGTTTTTTTATCTTTAATTTTCATTATAATGTTAGTGTTATTAAATATTTATATTTGTGAGATTGACTGAGTTTGCAAAGCATACTGTTTTTTTCCATGCCTCATGGTGTTTAAGACTTTTTTTTTCACGTAAGAATATAACTATATTTTCTTCTAGATAATAAGACTATTGGTTCAACACTTTTCAAATTTACAAGATACAAGGCTTAGAGCTGAGTCACTTAGTCCTTTTTCTCTTCTTATCACCTCCCAGTGCAGAATGTTTGCATCTTTTAATGGCCAGCATCCTCTTGGACCTACAGTTAGGCTCAACACATTCAAGCCTCAGCAGGACCTTCTTTGTGGTTTTAGCCTTCTTCCGGAACATTGGCTTTGTCTGCCCATAGCCACTCTGCTTCCCATCGCAGCGCCTCTTTCCTTGTGTGTACACGGAATCCTTGACCTTTTTATATTGGGTCACTTTGTGAGGTTGATGCTTGCCGCACTTCTTACAGAAAGTTCTTTGGGCTTGGGATACACTGACCATCTTTACAGAGATATGGTGTAAACGGGAACTGAGAGTCTGCGATCTTCGCCTCACTCCACTTGTGCCTATCCCGACAGTCATTTTGTTTTAATTGATGCATGATATTCTATTGCATGGAAGTACCAGGCTTTGTCTATTCCTTTATAATAGGTGTCTTTGGTTGTTTCCTTGTTTTTGATATTTTGGAAAATGCAGCAATAAACATAGATGTGCATATGTCTGTGTTGTATTCTTTATTTCTTGAGGGTATATATAAAAATGAAGAGACTACTAGATTATAAGACATTTGTGTTTGCATTTGTCTAAGGAAGTGTTATACTGACTTCCATAGAGATTTTAAAATTGTACAGTCCCACCAGCGATGTATGAGCATTACTCTTCCCTAACATTTATTATTTTGTGTTATTGAATTTTGATTCAAATGTGGGCTTCAGGTTGTATTTCATCATTGTTTTCATCTATTTTTCTCTTCTTCCTAGTGAATGTTAACATTTCTTCATATGATTGGTGGGCACCTAGATGCTGTCTTTACTGAATTGTCTATTTTTGACTTGTGCTTATTTTTTTATTGCATTATTAATATTTTTCTTGTTAAATATTGTAGTTGCCTACAGATTTTGGAGATTTGCCCTTCATCTGATGTATTATTACTGAATGGTTTTCTCAATCTGTGCATTTTTTATAAATTCTTTAATGAAGTCTTTCGATGTGCATAAATGTTGTATTTTGAGTCGGCCTCAGTTCTATACATTTCTTCTATACTGCGGATATGTTCACAGTGTGTTTGTGTCTTGTGTTAGCGCCCTTTAGTTTGTCCCTAATTTTTCATTGTTAGTCTTTATGTTTCCGTTTAGGTCTCTGATTTATGGTGAGTTCATTTTTGTACATGCTGTGCAGTATTGGTCCTCTGCATTAAAAAAAAAAATTTCCAGGTAAAGATCCATCTTAACTTGGATCTCTGAGAGAAAAGGCTACCTCTGCCCCACTTACTCGGCCTTAAACCTTCATCAAAGATTAAGTATCTATAGGTATTTGATTGTATTTCTGGGTTTTCAATTGTAATCCATTGGTCTTCGTATGAATTCTTGTACCAGTATCAGGCTGTTTTGTTTACTATAGCTATATAATATGTTTTAATGTCTGGGTGTTAAAGACCTCCTACTTTGTTTTAATTTATTAAGAGTGTTTTATTTATACCAAGTTTCTTTTCTGTCCATATAAGCCCTTACTGATTTAAGAGGCTTAAACCTATTCCCTTAGGAGAGTGTGGCAACAACAAAAAATTGCAGTGCACATTTGGTGTAACTGCTAAGTAGGATGATGTCTGAATGGTTGTGACAGAAATGCACGTGGAAGTCACAATGAACAGTGCTTTGGCTTACTGGTTAATCTAAGAATCCAACAGGAATTGCTTTAAGGGTTATATGTTAGACCAGGTAAACTAAAGAAACAAATTCATAGACACTCATACCTGTATAAGCAGGAGCTTTATATACAAGAGCAATTGATTATTGAGAAAACATACCAGCCCAGTC